GTGCATGCGGAGCACAAAAAGAAAACGAGTCACTCTTACTTAGAAAGGTTGTTAACATACTAATGTGCTACAGGACAAAGAACAAAGCTCAGCATATCAACTGCAAACTGAGGCAAGGGAGGAAGGTACAGAGAAGGAAGTTAGAATTTTTGCACTTACCAATGCCATGAACCTTCAGTGCTTTTTCAACCTTATTTAACATCCTCCTCCCAAAAGGGAGGGTGAAAGGGGAAGAAAAAGACTTAATGTTCAAAGGTAACAGTGCAAAGGTTTAACTATTAATCAAATAAATTAACAATAGCACCACAGCACTATCTGAATAGAAAAAAAACAAACAGAAAAGGTATACAAGACTTTTTCCCCCTAAGTTGCCTCTTATTTAAATCTCATTTTGCATTTATTAAACAGACATAAATTCTGAAGCAAGTATTCTGTCTGTAATAATTCAGAATACAAGACACAAGGGTGCAACATTTTTATCTGACAATATTAATGTACAAAACTAAGTTCTATCTTATTGCAATAAACACAGCAGTAAACTTACAAAACTAGCTAAACATCTGGAACCACACATTTCGGGGAAAAAAAAGAACATACATAAAATAGATTCTACATTCACAGTTTGTTGCTAAATAAATGCATAAAATCTGACAAAAGGTGAGTGATTAGGAGCCTGCTCCACTCACAACTATAGAGTTTTCCAGTCACAACTGATTTATGGCTGGGCCAATTCAGAACAGAAATAGAAGAGATTATATCTAAATTCATGCGAGTGAACAAATGCAGAAATGCAGGCCTACTCCCCCAAATATCTAACATGTTTAAAAACAACAACAAACCTGAATACCACAGTATTTAGGATTTTTGCCATCAGGAGCTGCAATTTAATCTTCCTTTTTAATAAAAAAAATCATTTAGAAACATATTACTTTTAAATTTATTTTAATTATTAAAAGTTGGTTCCTTCACACACACACACACACACACACACTTCAAACATGACAAAGCAAGCAGACTATTTATGTTTGACTCCAGGAAAAAGGCAAATATATTGATATGATATGAAATAAATTGTTAGATATTTTTGCCCTTGAATAGCATATGAAATATCCACATAAGTGTCTAACAATAAAATATTTCTGGTCTTAAAGCACCTTCTTATTATCTTCAGCAGATAAGCAGGCAAATAACACAAGTCTTAATAGAGCAAAGTCAGCTTTAGGTTCTTAAATTCTTTCCAAAGCTTTCAATGCATCTGTTGCACATACAACAAAAGCTTTTTAACTCCCAGTTGCCCACATTAGTATGACTTTTTGCATTCCAAAAAATTCCTGCATCTGTTTAGAAGGATGGTTCAGTTTTTCCATGTCCATTGAGCTTTCATGATATAATCTGTGTAAAGCAAGCTTGACAGGTATGTGCACATCCAAGGAAAATGACAGAAAAATAACAATATTTTTTAGGGAGAAGTGAGACTTTCAAAAATTTGCAATATACAAAACTACAATATGATGAAGGTGCTAAGGCAGAAAGGCTTCCCAAACATGAAAGTTCTATTCAAAAACACAACACAACACAGAGCTTACACAACAAAGAGCTACATCTTCCTACCACACCCTAACTACAAGACCATCATGCTCTTTTCACTGTATTCCAATATGGAAACTGTGTCCCAGATTCTCATATCCCCAATACAAACTTAGTTTTCAGTCTTTAATATCCAGTTCTCTGGGCCACAGCATTCCAATTCACCAAGTAGTGAAAATACCACAAACATGCAGAACCTACATGCAGGAACTTTCACCTCATCCTGAGTTTAGAAAGGACTTAAAAGCAGGAGTTTAATATAGCTGAAGACAGTACGAAGCAGGACGTTCATCCCAAGAGAATGATGAGCTTTCCAGTGAAGCCCTCCATAGTAAAAGGAAAGCCACGTAAAAACATATGCCCTAGGTTGCAAGATCACACCACAGTCCTCTCCTTACATGATACTGGAGGCCTACTAAATCTAGAAACACAGGATGAAAGAGCCTAGCAGTAGCCAAAGACCTGAACAGAGTCCCATATCTGACTGACCATTCTAATTCTGAATCCACTAGCACAAATACATGTCAGGATGGGAACAACTGTCATGACCGCAGAGGCTCAATTAGCATTAAGAGCTATAACCTAACAAACTATGCATGTTAATGGGCTTTGCATTTGGAGAACACCAGCAAGAGACTTTACGGTTAGTTGTTACTTAGGATTCTGAAGTTTCCTAACTGCCTCTCATGGTGTCTGGAAACAAAGAACTGTTAAATTTTTAAGTTCATAAGGATCTCACAAAAATAATTAGTCCAACATACGGAATGTACACCAAAGAAAGAGACAGCACTGTTCAACATTGTTGCAAGAATGTGGTGCAAGAATGTGGTTTGCTAAAAACACGGAAATTGATCTAAGTTAAAAACTGAGGTATTCGAAAAACGCTAAGACTGCCAAGCCATCAACCCAGCAGAGACGCAAGTAGATGTAAACATATCTGCAGTTTACAGCAGTATTCAGCAAGGAACAGAGTCAATACAATAACTGACGCTACCCTTATTTCATTCAAATTCAAGACAGTGATATCTTTTAACAATGGTTACAGTTGAAAATGTAGTATTTTAAACAAAGAAAATTCAAGAAGCCAGTAGCATTGGAATCTAGTTAGAAGTTAAAGCCCCTCGAAGATCCTGCTTACCTGCTAGAGCTCACATACTACACACATACCCAAAACAATGCCACTGTTTCATTTCAGCTTCCAAAATGTGACGCATTGGATCAAGAAGCTGAAAGAAGCCAAGATATCTGGGAACTACATACCCAAGCACTGCAGTAGCTAAATTAAGAAACTAAGGTTAAAAGTGGAGGAAGAATTGTAAAACACTTCCTCGTCCAAAATAAATTTTCCATACTAACCAAGGAAGGCACAATCCGTGAATACTTTGAAGGAGCCCACTACTGGCAGCAAGTTAGACGCAGATAAAAAGGGAATTCTAAGGCAAAGCTTTGACCCTAACAGTTGTAACCAATTGCTCTTACAAATAGGTTCCAATACCTAAAGGATATCAGATTTTAGCTCTTCTGTTATTTTATATTTGCAAATAGAAATCTTCTTCCTTTCAGAGGGTGAACATGGTAGGAAAATATCAATCTTAAAACAGGTTCAAAAACTTACAATAAGAAAGAGAATAATGCTTCAGTGTTAACCTTGCACAAAATTCATTCAGTCCATAATTAGTTCAAAGTTTGTTCATTCTTTTTCTACCAAAACTGCTTCGTGTTAGTTAAGATATTCACCAAAAATACCTATAGTGCAGTAGAAAGGATTTAATTGCTTCTTTATCTCAGCTTCCATATCCATATTTGGTCTTTAGATGATACGGAATGTCTAGGAAAACTAGAAAAAGATCACAAACTATTATTTTAGCTTCACAAAACATTCAATTTTTTCTTCCATTCACTTAACCGTTAGTTTTAACTTATGCCTCATCTTCAGTTCTACTAAACTTTTAAATCTCCAGACTAATAGTGGTATTTTTGAAGAACATGATTATGTTTTCAGATTGAGAGCTGAGGGCAGCATGGAAAGGTAAATGAATTATTTTCATTTTCAGAGGCAATCTCTTGGGATAAATTATTTTAAGAGATTTCCTCATGAAAGCCATACACTCTCAAATAAAACAAATTCAAATTATTTCTTTCCTAAGATTCAGATACAGATATACAAGGACAGAGCACACACAGGAACAACAGCTAGGCATACAGAGCCTCATGCGCTTATTTGTAACAATATTAAGGGCAGTTTTCTTCCACAAATACGCTCCCATTTTCAAACTATGAGGCAGGAGGGCCTAAATCAATAAACTCTCTGCAAACAGAGGCATGGAGACAGCGACTCAGCCCTGGAGCCAAGCACTGAGATGATCCAGGCAAAGACGGCCATGCCAACACTGCCTGATTGCCGCAAGGGACACAGCACTAGTGCCACCAGGACTGACACCATGGCAGCCCACCTGCTCCTGCAACTAAACCACTCCTGCACCTACAGACTTGATGCAGAGAGCACACAAGAGATACCGATGGATCACGGCACACAGGTATCTGCAGGCACCCTCCCATGCCCGAACGTGCTGCTTTCCACAGGCTCACACGGAACTACTCTTGCCATCGAAAGGGGTGCCAGCAAGCTCTCCTTCTCCTCCAAGGAGGGAATGTCAGCAGGTTACTGAACCAAGAGCAGCTCTCACGCACCTGCAGTTACGCGCCCAACAACCAGCGGCTAGAGTCGTTCTCCCCGCTCGAGAGGGGTTGTGGGCACATGGCGTGGGGAGGAAGGACGTCCTTTGACGCGCAGAACTGGGTCTCCTCAGGACAATGATGGGAGGATTGGGCCTGCGGCTTTAGCCCCCATGCCGGTGGAAGGGGATGAACCACGAAGCGGGCGCTGCGAAGCAGCAAAATCACCCGCAGACGCTTCTTACCCGCCTCCCCGGTCAGCTCGGGCGAGCTCGTGCACATGCGCGGCACTCTACCCGCCGCTGTCAGAGGTAAAGCCCGCGCTGGCGCGCAGCAACGGGACTCGGGGGTGGGGCCGCGACCCCACCTCACGCGGGCGCTGCTAGTGGCGATTGCGCGAGCCTATCTGTGTCCGTGCGGCTCCCGCATCCCTGCGTGGGACCGAGAAGGGGAGTAAGGCGTCTTGCTGCCGCTGCCGCCCGGCAGCGCCTGCGCCGGGAGCTTTGCCCGCGGGCCAGGGCCAGGTCCAAAACGTCTTTTGCCCTTTTGGGCGATGTTGGGTTTTACGCGTCCCTCCCCTGTGCACCATTCACCGCGGCTGAATCTGAAGGGCGGTTGCGCAGGGTGGTTCAGGGAGATCCGCTGCCCCGTGTCCGCCGCCGTCTGAGTCTCCAGCAGCGCAGATGTAGCGGCCCCGGCTGGTCTCTTCCTTCCGCGAGGCCAGGAGAGCCTGGCACCGCCCCGCGGTCCCTTCAGGGAAGGGTAGTCCAGCTCAGGGTTTGGTGGGAGCTGGGGATGAGCCGGCAACCTGCCGGCAAGGCGGTGAGGGCGGGGGAGGCCTCATCGCCGGCGCAGGGGGGAGGGGCGGGGTAAAAAAAAAAGGCGCTTTGTTAGAGGCAGCGCGGGGGCGTGCGCGGCCCTGGAGTGCGGTTACATGCGCAGCAGCGCGTGCAGCTGGGGCCTGGGAAACAGCACGACCGGTTTTTCATTACATCTGTCAGGGTAGCTGTTCCTGGTTTTGTATATCAGCTACAGCCTGCATGTTTGCCTTGGATCTTCTTTGCCGTTCTTCTTTGTCAAGCTAGGACCTGTTCTTTCTCACTCGAGAAAAAGGAAAGCAAGCAAAGAAATAAAGCAAGCTCAAGTTAATGGTTGAGAAATTCTGATGCACGAGAGCCTGGTAGGATTTGTATTTATGCCTGTGACAGTTTGGGTAATTGTGAATTTTGTGACACTCATTTGAAATAACGACCTGCATCCATTAGCTTTGCTTTGCACAAACTGCTGTGGATGTCCTCCATAGTTATCGGGATGGCCAGATGTCTGTGTGTTATTGTGTGTTAAAATGCATGTGTTTGTGTATAAAATTTATTGGTAGAAAAGCAGGCAATGTACCTTAATACATTAGTTTATTGATTTACTAGGCAATCCATAATAATTATTAATTTGTGTTAAAACAGTTAAAATTACTTGAGGAGGTTTAATAGATTAAACATAGTTTCCATATTGCTGTTATCTTCATACTGGCATCTAATTGTGTAATGGTTTCAAGTCTCAAGGTAGACAAGGTCAGGCCAGGAACGCTCTGAGAGATGGTGTGTGAGAAAATCAAGGAAGAAGGATAGTGTTTATTGTTCATTCTGTCATTCAAATGAAGAGTAAGCCTGTTGTTTTTGACAGGTTTTGGTCATTGCTTTCCCATGTCTTTCCTTTCTCCTGTGTTTGGGTTACATTTTCCACTATAACTTGCTATTTGCGTTTTCACTTTGCATTATAGCTTTCTCTGCATTTTCTCATGCCTAAGAAGGTATTTGGGGGCTGAAAATGTTCCCTCATGCCAATCTGAAGTGACAGGGAGGAGTGAGGAGAGGCTTGTTTGCAACTGGCTTGAGCTTTTGTGTATATATAGGTGTGCAAGCAAAATGTATATGCATAATTATGAACATAGATAAACTTTACCTATTTTTTTTTCTAAGTTACAGCCCATTCTCTTATTGTCCCTCAGAGAAATGTACCTGAAAGTAAAAATTGGCAGTTAAAGATACCGTTTGTTATTTAAAATGATAAAGACTTGTTTAAGTAAAGTGCCACTAGAAGATATTTAGGGTAAGGTACTTACTACACATATATTTGACTTGACATCTGGGAGATGTAAGAAGCTTTGTATTCCGATTTTTTTTTTTTTAATTTTACTGGGTAACTGCCTTCAGGTACCCATACAGCCCAAACTGATTATGTTTGCTGTCTGAGCATCCATTTCAACATGTGCATATTAAAATATCTGCATGGGCAAATCTTATGGAATGCTCTTTCACCCTCAAACAGACTTCCAGAAAGTGATTCCCATGCATGGTGAAACAGGAGTGAATATAAATACATGGTGGTGTTTTGCTGCAACTTCTTAGTGTTCTCTGGTATTTAGGTGTGCTTTTTTTCACCTAATTGAAAATGTTCTTCAATGTATGGAGGAAAGTAGGCTAAATAAGTGCATTAAACTGTTTGAGCAGTTCAAGGTTTTATGCATCCTACTTGTAATCCTGAATTCTTCATGGAATGGACACCAGTACAGTGTTTATCCAGGGAAAAAGTGATCAAGAATGTGTATAGAGAAAAGGAAATTATTGGTTCTTGTAGTGCGACCTGCATTTCTGCTCTTAAGTGTAATGCCGCATTAAATGTAATAAGACATAAGCCTTAGAGCTTATGACTGGGGACCTCAGATGCTACCACAGTAAAACTAATAGTGATAGATGATAGTGTGGTATAAAAGCAATACTTAGAGTTTTGGTATGGTTCCAACCATGATATACAAGCTTTCATCCTAATATACAGGGTTTGGCAATGCCTTAAATATATATTATTTGATTTATGTAGCTATCAGTTCCAACTCTGCTAGTCTGTATAGCCAAATATTTACATCCTTGGAATCCAGAAATTTAGATGTTACTGAACGTAGAAAAGTCTACAGAGTTACCAAAAATCCTTCATTTTGTTAATTCAAGCGCTTTTTTATACATGAGTATGTCATGATTTTTAGACTGAGGTTTTTTGTCTCTTCAGAATCAGAGATTTTGAACCTAGAAACTAAATTCTAGTGGAAGGCAATGTTAACCCTTTCTGATCCTGCTTCCCAGGATCATATGGTGTTGGACCTTAGGACTTTGCTGGTGACAGTGATGCTTTTCCTTCTTTGTCTCTGCAAACCTAAGCTTAAGACAGGCTGAATAATCACTATTTGGTCCAAATATTTTAAGCAGCTATCTAAAGCAGCTAAATGGATTGGAATGGTATAGTAAATCCAAATTAAGACAGGCTCTATTTCATTGCAGGTCTTTCACACTTCCGGAAATTTCTTGAAATTTAATTATCTTTGAGGTAACTACTTTACTCTGAAATTTCAGCTTGCTGGGTGCAACAATTTATTGTGGGTGGGGAGACATAAGCAAATGGAGAATATGGTCACTGAGCCTTATTTGCTCAATAGTCCCTTTCATTTCTATTACTGTAGTAGACATTTTTTCTTCCATTGCTCTTCTGGCAAGCCAAAGCTTTTAACTGTATGCTATATTCCTTTAAACTAAGACCATTATTAATTTATTTTCACTTTGTTTCAGTTTTGCTATTGTAAGTTATGTTTTACTGACTTGTCTATTCCTTGAGTACACTTCCTAGACTTTGTTTGATAGATGGGTTCATCTATCTATATATATATAAATTTGGGACATTCTTGTTATTGTGTGAAAGATGTTTTCTTATTTTGAGATTTCTTTTTATAGTCCATTCATAAGTTTTCTTTGTGATTGTAAGTATTTGCCTTCACTGGAATAGGCTAAGAATAACTGTATCAAGACATACGGAGTAGAGGAATTGCAAAAGATGGTACAAAGTGAACTAAGATTAGTGCACTGAAGTGGAGGAAAAAAATATTTGGTCTGAAAAAGATGACTCAGTATCTTTCACCATAAGATTTCTTTCTTCAAGTAGTGCTATAAGGGAAGATGTGGGCAAAATACTAGAAAATTCTTTTTTGAAAGAGGCCCTAGACTGTAAGGAAGATCAACCAATCTTAATAAAAATATATAGATGTTCCACTTCTGATCCTTTTATTAAAATGAGATGAAATACGAACTAAGACTTCCCCCCCCACACTAGTTTACTACCCAGGTGTTTCTGCACAAAACTTTAAAGTAATTGTGGCCACACAGCTGTGGTGGGAGTGAATAAGATAGATAAGAGAAAAAAGCTACTTTTTTTCTTCTTTTTCAATACAGTCATATGTTAATTATTCAAGGAAACATTGTGTGGGAGGGGGTTGGTTTGTTTGTTTTGCTATGGGTAAGAATTGCCAGATATCTTATTCTGTATGTAAGCACTAGGCTTGAGAAGAGAGGCAGTAGTTAACATGGCATTCTATGTTGGTAATTGATTATTGCAAGTGATCGGCAGTGAAGCACAAAGAAGAGCGAGAGAGGATGACAGATGTGCAGAGTGAGAGTAGTAAAAACCTAGAAACCTTCGCAAAGAAGTTAGTTTCTGTATTTAATCCACATTTTTCTGCCCAACCTTGCCTCTTCTCTGCATCATAATTCTGGTCAAGGTCTTGCCTGTTATTGGATGTCAGTCAAGGAGGGCTAAACACAGGGAAGAATCAAACCAACAGATGTCTTTAAAAAGGAGATCTTGTCATTTGTTCTATAACTTTCAAATATTACAGAAAAGAGATATAGCTGCCCTCAGTTAACAAGGACAGGATGAAAGATACAGAGAAAGTCTGAAAGAGGGTCTTTTTGTAGCAAAGAAAGCACATACTTACTAGACTTCAGCCTGAAGCTCTTCGTTCTATAATTCATTGTTTTGAAAATTCACACAGTGTAATAAATAGGGAAAAAAGTTGGGGTTTTTTTCTATAAATTAAAAGCTAAGTAATTGGTGTCAAGGCACATAATGGGACAATTGTAACATAGGCAGGAGGCTTATCCTCATCATATACTACTTACATAGCAACATAGCCAATACAAAGCAGCATATAATTATAATACACATAATGTGGATGAAATCAGAGGTTTAGATGTTGTGTACTGAAGTGCTATGTTTAGGGATTGCTTGCGAAACAAAATTTCTTGATATTGTAACCCATTCATATCTGCTTTTTGTTTTCAACATTGTTTTCATAGGAATTTTGACTTCTTGGAGACACAATAGAAAATGCAAAACGAAACAATAAAGCCTGCTAAATACTTCTCAGAAGTGGAGAAGAGTGTGCTGCTTGCATTAGTTGAAAAGTACAAATATGTCCTTGAATGTAAAAAGAGTGATGCAAGAACTATTGCTCTCAAACAGCGTACTTGGCAAGCTCTAGCTCATGAATATAATTCACAGCCCAGTGTATCATTACGAGACTTTAAACAGCTAAAGAAATGTTGGGAAAATATCAAGGCACGGACAAAAAAGATAATGGCACATGAAAGACGGGAGAAGGTAAAAAGAAGTATTAGTCCACTTATAAATAGAGCAAATGTACTTTTTGCAAAGCCCACCAGAAGATTCTGAGTATCAGCCTGATGCTTCTAGTCAAGGTATAAATGTTACTGTAACTATGCAAGTAGTACTGTTTTGTATGTAGTTTTGGTAGTGACTTTCTCAACAGTATAAATCCTTTCACTTAGCTGTGACTGCTGGCTACAGAAAGGTAGCCAAAATTTTCAGAACTATGCTGTTACAAGACAATATTTATTTCCCCAGGCTCTCAAGAGTTAAACCGAGTCAGCTTTCAACAACTGAGTCAACTGCCACTTTGTGACAAGTGTTTCAATAGCCATCATGCTAGCTTCCTCAGAGCAGGAGCAAAGGATATATTGATCCTTTGCAAAGTATTGTTTTGTTGGGAAAAGGTCTGAGTATTAAAAAAATAAAATAAAAGGAGCGGGGTTGGGGGACAAACTCTTTGCTGCACCAGCAGCAAATTGTTACATGGTTTTCTAATGCAAGTGTTTCCTGATGCAGGAGTTTCCAGCAAGTTTTCCCTACTTTTTTTTTTCAGGAGGGACTAAAATGAATGTGTAAACTTATATTTCACATTTGAATCCATATTGGAGAATGAGCTTTCAAAAAGATTAAGCAATATGTGCTTTGTTTGCCAAGCATATGCAGACATGATAATCCAAGACTATATGGGATGGTGGCTGGTTGCAAACTTTATGCCAGAACCTGCTCAAAATAAGCTATTTTTAAGCTATTTTTTTTCCTAAAGATGAACATTTATGGCATGTACAGGATTGATAAGGAAAGAAGTCATAGTTCTAGAAAAGAAGACATAATTCTCACCAGAGACATAGCTCTTTCATAAAATTTTTGCTACATATATAAAATTTTGTTACATACACCTTTGACTTAGACAGTTCAGCTTAAAGTTCAGCTGTAAGCTCAAGCCTCTAAATTTAGGTGCCCACATATGCATGTAAATGCCTATGTCCACTTTAAGATTCTGAGTTTCCATTCTATCACAGAGCCTGAAGTGGTTCAATTCACCCTGAACTAGGCCACTATACTCATAAGATACTGTAACATAACAGCATTCTGTAGTGTCTCCTGTATTATGGTGCAAAAGAACAAAGTTTAGATGTATATACCGATAACTACATTTATAATTACAAGTTTTTGTTACTTGAGGGGAAGAAGAAGAAGGAATAATAATTTTCTGTTGTGTTTTACAGAATCATTTGTGATCTCAAACAGAGAACTCTGTGATGAGGAGAAAGAGTTGGTACATTTTCCAGTATGTGAAGGTACCTCCCAACCTGAGCCATCATGTTCTGATGTCAGAATTGCAGCAGATAAGAACTACAGAAGTAAAGCATCTCAGGAAAGCATTCTGAAAAAAATGCATGAGGAAGAGCATCATCAGCAAATGTCAATTTTGCAATTGCAGTTAATCCAAATGAATGAAGTTCATGTGGCAAAAATACAGCAAATAGAAAGAGAGTGTGAGATGGCTGAAGAGGAGCACAGGATAAAAATGGAAGTGCTAAATAAAAAGAAAATGTACTGGGAGAGAAAATTGCAGACCATCACAAAAGAATGGCCTGTATCATCCTTTAACAGACCTTTTCCTAATTCACCATAAAATATAATGTACTCAGATTTGCTCTCTGTCTCTTTTTAAGAAATGTGCATCAAAAAAAAAAGAGAATGTGTAGTGACCCTTAACAATTAGGGAAACAATTGTATAGTCTATGAAGGGGAAAACCATATTGTTCGTTTTTAAATAAATGCTGACTTGTTTAACTTTTAGGTATGCACTGTATTCTAAAAGATGGATGCCTTTTTCCTCTTTGCCTTTCACCTTCTAGTATCTTCTAAAAGGAAGATACTGTCTCAGACCATAAATTTGAGTTTCTTTAAAAAAAAAAAAAAAAAAAAAACGAAAAAACAATAATAACCCCACACTAGTAAACATCAGGTTAAAGAGTGTGTTTTATTCCTACATCTTCTCCCTGACATTTCCTGAATGAAGGGAAAGGTTGGAGTTTCTCTTGCTGCTAACGGAAAAGATACTTGACAGGCATTGACTGTATTATTTTGCTGGGACATAGAAAAAAAATCACAGAATGGTTAAGGTTGGAAGGGACCCCCTTGCACAAGCAGGGACAGAGAGAGCATGTTGCACAGCATTGCCTGGTTTATATATTTAATAATGTAAGTTTCAGAGAAGTTATGAAAATGAAAGAAATAGCAAAGGGTGAAAGGACTGCTGTAATAGTTAAATCCTTTGCTTGTGGTGAACAGCGGTAATGTTTTCCAGGCAGCTGCCTGACTGACCTTGTAGCTGTTTGAGCGCTGGTCTTTAAGAAATTGTAAAGAAGATGACCTGTTCCTCAGAAGTCACTGTATTTACTCTCTTCTCCAGGCCCATCTTATATTTAATAAGAATACCAAAATAGGAGAGATGCACATAGGCTGTTTTCTGGAGCCATTCTAGAAGAGCTTTTGACTGATTAACAAATCTTTTAAAATGTAGTGAGCCATTCAGTCCATTAGCAAACTCCCTCTACCTCTCCATGCAAAACTTGAGTGCTCAAGAGTTAATTAGTGTATTTCAGTCACTCTCTAATCAGAACAAAAAAAAGACCCTGGGACTTACCCCTCTTTTCCTTCACATAACAAGTTGCTTAGAGGCTTAGAGGCAAGAGGCTAAAGGGGATCATTTCTGTATTTGGAGGGTGTTCTGTCCTGTCTTGTCCAATCCTGTCCATCATCTTGATGTGTTTCCTGTCTTTGCTGTCCATGCAGGGTGATGGTGATCATTTATATGAAAGCTTTCATATGAAGGTCCTCACAGTTACTATAATAGCAGATACACTTAAAAAAAACACCCATACACACACACACAGATAATCCCTCCCAAAGAAATGTGTTAATCTAAAAGGGTAAGGCTTAGGGAAATAAGCAATAGAAAACTTAGCAAAGTTTCTGAAGAGCTTATTGCTGTTTTGCTGGGAAAATGCAAACATCATTTGAAGAAGTGAGGAAAAAAAAGCCACAGAAATGTATTTTTTTTCCCATGAAAATGACCATTATCTTCAATACAGTATTTTCGGATCATCATTAACAACTGAAAGCCTCTACAGCTAGCACCAAATTAGAGTATGTTAAAAAATATACTGTTCTTCCTAGCTATGCTCCCTCTTTTCTGTGAATACTCTTTCTGATGGAATTTCTTTTGTTTTCTCAAACGGCTGTCTTTTTTGGTGATTAACCTTTGCAGTCATTCATATTCATGGTAGTACTCACTCTACTTAACATTGTGGTACAATATTGCTCCTTTCAACATGCTCATATAGCATGCACAAGGAGAGTGACTTAGGGCAACTTATTTTACATGACAGAATAAAAATATATATTTTTGCAGAGTTTCTGCAGCATTAAAAATAGGCCAGGTACAAAATCTGAAGTCAGATCTGTTTGGCAACAAACTAACTTAGTTTTCTTTTAATCTGGCCATATGAATGGAACATATCGAAAAGATATAATTATAGACATAGACATGATTTTCTGCTGAGAGGAACCAATACTGGAAGGCAGGACAATAATGGTAAAGGTAAAGAGAAGAAATAAATAGAAGTTAAGACCTTTTTGCTCGGAGGTTGCATTCTGTGTATGGAGAATTAATCAGTTGTTTGAGTGGAAATGACAATTGTTCAAGCATCATCCAGGAGTAGGATAGGATAGGAAAGACCAATGAGATTCTCTTAAAAATAGCAGGATATCCTCCAATAAAGTTACTAAGTAATTTGAAACTACAAAATTGAAAGTGTGTGCATGTTAAGTGTAGAAAGCTAATGAAGGGAAACAATTTGAGCACTATGAAAAAAGCAAGAATGGAGAGACAATCCAGGTCTAGATAGCCCTGTGAGAAACTTAAAATAATCCAGGGAGAATATCATAATATTTGAGATAAATGTGGTCTTGATTCCTGAAAGTTATACTATTGATCATGAAAGATTGTTTTATTTTTGTATTTTAAAAAAATGCATGTTTTAGACTGAACTTAGTGGACAATGCGTTACATTTTGGTATGTATATTCATTCATGTAGAGAATCGCTTATGTTAATTCTAAATCCAAAATGTTTAGTTGTTAGACTGAATAGGAGAACTATTTAATGCAGTCTCTATTTAAAAGAAAGAGCACAGAAGAAAAAGATTAGAAAGAACCAGGATGAAGATAGGAAGGAATGATTATACCTACATACAGGAAGTGTTAGGAGTGTCACACCTAACTAAAATGATGCAAAAGGTTTTTGTGGTGATGTATAAAGCTGACAGATGCTGCAGGCTTCTGTTTTCCCATCTTGTTGCTTGTAAAATTGTTTAATAGACATAGAGAAGGATACAGTACAAGATCAACATGATGAAGTAATATGTCTCCTTGCCAGCCTTTGGCTTCTCCCTTTGGTTTTATGAAGTGATTAAAAGACCAGTCTTCAAAAATGGCAAGAAGGAGGCTCCAGGCAACTACAGGCCAGTCGGCCTCACCTCTATCCCTGGAAAAGTGATGGAACACCTCATCCTGGCTGTTGTCTCTAAGCATGTGGAGAACAAGAAGGTGCTCAGGAGTAGTCAGTATGCATTCACCAAGGGGAAATCATGCTTAGCTAACCCAATGGCCGATGGCCTTCTATGATAGAATGACTGGCTGGGTAGATGAGGGGGGAGTGGTGGATATCATTTATCTTGACTTGAGCAAGGCTTTTGACACTGTCTCTCACAGCATCCTCTTGGGCAATCTCTGGAAGTGTGGGATAGATGAATGGACAGTGAGGTGGATTGAGAACTGACTGAGGGTGGTGACCAGCAGCGCAGAGTCTAGTTGGAGGCCTATAGCTAGCGGTGTCCCCCAGGGGTTAGTTCTCAGTCCAGTCCTGTTCAATTTATTCATCAATGACCTGGATGAAGGCACAGAGTGCCCCCTCAGCAAGTTTGCTGATAATACCAAACTGGGAGAAGTGGCTGCGCAGCCATCCAGAGGGACCTGGACAGACTGGTTCAACAGACAACTGGTTCAACAAGGGCAAGTGCAGATCCCACACCTGGGAAGGAATAACCCCATGCATCAGTACAGGCTGGGGACTGACCTGGAGAGCAGCTCTGCAGAGAAGGACCTGGATGTCATGGTGGACAACAAATTGACCATGAGGCAGCAGTGTGCCCTCGTGGCCAAGAAGGCCAATGGGATCCTGGGGTGCATTAAGGAGAGCGTCTCCAGCAGGTCGAGGGAGGTGATCCTGCCCCTCTACTCAGCCCTGGTGAGGCCACATCTGGAGTACTGTGTGCAGCTCTGGGCTTCCCAGTAGAAGAGGAACATGGAACTTCTAGAGAGGGTCCAGTGCAGGGCTACAAGGATGATCAGGGACTTGGAGCATCTGCCCTACGAGGAAAGGCTGGGAGAGCTGGGCCTGATCAGCCTGGAGAAGAGAAGGCTCAGAGGGGACCTGATCAACATATATAAATACCTTAAAGGAGGGAGTGAGCAGGATCGGGCCACCTCTTTTCGGTGGTGGCCAGCGATAGGACAAGAGGAAATGACCACAAACTGAAGCACCAAAAGTTCCACGAGAACTTAAGGAAAAATTTCTTGACAGAGAAGATGACAGAGCACTGAAACAGGTTGCCAAGAGAGGTTCTGGAATTTCCTTCTCTGGAGATATTCAAACCCACTTGGATGCAATCCTGTGCCACATGCTCTAGGTGACCCTGCGTGTGCAGAGGGGTTGGACTAAATGACCTCTAGCGATCCTTTCTATGATTCTGTGACAAATTGGACGTAATGTTAAAAAATATTTGCAAAGACAAAAAAAAAAAAATCTGGGATTGCTTTCCAAGTGAGTCAAAAGTGAAGACAGCTCATAGCCGTCCTAAGAGATGATCCTGTCATATATGTCAAATGCTTGCCTTCCACAGTCTTTGCCCTCCCTGATTACTTTTTTCATTGAGAAACTGGACACATCCCTCATATCAGTCATAGCTCCAGGTGCCTGGCGGTAAGAGAAGTAACTATGTCATCAGGCCTTCCACTTTACTGAACTAAAGTTGGACAGTTTTCTGAGACCTGCAATGCAATCCAGGTATGCATGCTACACACGGAGGAAAGATAAGAAATCTGTCCAGCATATTCAAATGCAGTGGACTAACAAGGAACTAACTAACAAGGAAAGAATAAGAAAAGAACACCTGCTGAATGTCATTGGGTTATAAGATTATTCTGCTTATAAGATAGTGTGGATGTATCTCACTGGATGGCCAGTTTAACAGCAAGAATCATGTTTTATGTTTGACAAGTGTAATTCATCCCGATCCAGATTTTCCAATCTGTTAGAGCTGCAGAACAAAAATGAAAGTGAATTTTTAGCAATCAGAATAGCTAGAAATAATCTCTTGATTTTCTGATGAAGAGCTGTCTATTCTACAGTCTAGGGAAATAACTTTTGAATGTAACAGAAATAAGACAGATTTTTAGAGAATACTTTTTGTTGACAGGTACTGTTTTTTCTTTGTTAATCAGTTGAGCTGCACAATAGCGTACTTCAATTTCCACCTAATTAATCAAATTTGTTTTTCAAGAGAGTAGTATAAGGT